CCCCAAAACCCCAAAACCCCAAAACCCCAAAACCCCAGGATTATATTTAAATCAGATTAAATAATTTTGAGAAATAAAATTTGAATGAAAAACATATACGAACGACCAAGAGTATGCTTACCCTCACTGTTTAGGAGATCCGGAGAAAGGCTGTCCTGGACCGCTTCCATTCCTCAATTCATGGTCCTAATCGGGCCAGAATTGAGGCTGGCTCTCACGGAATTTTCAAAGGATTTCTAGATAGATTATATAGCAAGAATGATGAAGAAAGCAAGCCTAAAAATGCCAAATTTGTTAGCTCTACTAGGATCAGTAGGAAAAAACCTAGGTCTCGTAAGAAGGATAAGAGAAACTTCTTTGGCAGTCCGAAGAGAGATCTTGGTGGAAAAGAGGAGAATAAATCAACTTATGAATTTGAAGTCGATCCGAACGGATCGATTTTTGCCAATCATGAGCTTTTGAAGCACACTGTTGATAAAGATGTCCAAAAAGAATCCAAAAAACCACTTTATTCTAAGAACAAACAAGAAGGTATAGAGTTTCAGAGCCTAGAAAATAGTATGAATAATAAGAAGTACAAGACTTTTCAGAACCAGCTTAAGAGCAGGATGTATCAAAGAAAATCATTTGAGAAGGAGTTTCACAAGAAGAAGTCTATTTTACCAATGCTGTTAAAGTTCAAGCAAAATGGGAAGACTGTAGATATCTCCCAAACGCCGCTAAGAAGACTCAATACTCATAAACAACAGAACAAAAATGCTAAAGTTCGTGAGAAATCTTTAGAGAATTTGTACCGTAATAGAGACCTGCAGCACCACAGCTCAGGAGAGAAAAATTTCGAAAATAGCAAAATCTCAGAGGTAGTCAGGGAGACCATGACTTATTTTCTCCCACCTGGCCAAGAGACCACTAAGGTAGGATAGCCCAGCAATTATAGAAACGATCAACTCTTCGATCAGCAAAAGCCATTATAAATCAACTGAGTAAATAAAGTAGAGGTTGACTATAACCAGAGAAAGGAGAGGATCAGGCTGACGAAGGAGTTCAAGAATCATAATAAGTGTAAATTCATGAAATAATCTATAGCCTTCCAGCATGGATACCAGCCAATGAGTAAAGGTAACTACGCATGCATTGGCTTTGTTAGCTTTTTATAGATAAATTAGTCAACAAGAGCTTCGAACATTCGTCTTATAATCCACAATTCGCTAAGAAAATGACTGGAGGTGCTAACAACTACACTTCGTACACTCAGGAAGGAAGATCTAAGACCACTAAATTACTAAATCGGGATAATGTTGATCTAAGACAGCTGGCTAATGATGACTCTGCTTCTAATTTTATCTCATTTCAGAATAATTTCACGACATTTGGAGACCAAGGTACGTATATTTACACTAAAGTTTTAGGAAATATCCGGATGCAAGAGAGGATTAATAACTCGAAGATCCTGAGTTCAGCCTCAGGCAATATAATCCCGGCTTGAGAAATTAATAAATCACGTATAAGACGTGGATATCGAGAATTTACGGATATACTTCACGAAAAGTACATAGTCATTTAAACAATCTAGGCCTGTTGCAGAACAAAAATAGAGAAGAAGAGTCTCTTCCTGAACCTCTTGGGCCTGAAATTCCTCCTTCTCCTCCAAGTGAGCCTCAGGAGGTTCAGGAGCCTGCTGAGGTTAAGAAAGGCAAGGCAGTATTCAAGGTCAAATCAACACTGAATCAGGTTGGACCTGATCCTATAATCGCTGAGTGAATTACACAGATCACAGAATCCCCGATTGTCAAACTTAAAGAATTTATCACTAAGATGAGAAAGAAAAGAACGAAGTGCTTCATGAAGAGGTTTAAAAGACTTAATGAAAGAATCTCAGTAGCTCAGTACCCTAAGAACAGTGAAGAATAGATTGATGAAGTATATTACCCTAAAAGGGACCGAGGAGAGGTCAAACTAACCCAATTTATACTTCCCCGATATGGCTGAGACAGTCCACACGATTGATAACAATGAGTCCACATAACTCATTGACAATTAGTTATATCAAGATTACAAATTCAATCTTGCTGTTTCCATAATTTCTAAGATCTTAGAATATTGAATACCTTACTGGCTCTATCATTAGTACGGATGCTGTTTCGGCTGCTGACAGAAACCAATAGGCATTGCCTCGCTTAAATTTGCTTAGTTTTAAATCTTTGAAGTTGTAAACAAAATTGCCTAATCTCGAAGGAAGACGGAATAGGGCATCCTCTCAGAACCATTGATGTCAAATTACATCACTGATTCAAAAGAAATAGTCTGGGTTTTGTTAGAAGTATATGTATTTATAATAATGAACAAAAAAATTTATCTCCTTCAAATTAAAAAAATTTTAAATTTACTATTCAACCACATCTATCCCAATTGGGGTTTTGGGGTTTTGGGGTTTTGGGGTTTTGGGG